ACAATCTGGGGCACATGGGAAGGTTTAGGGGCATCTTGTCATTTACTCAGATGTTGAGACTAAGGAAAGATGACCATAAACTATCCCTGAACTGTACAAAATCTGGACTCCAACTACTCACCTTTGAGCTTCCCATCACCCTTCAGTCAAATACCCTTACTCTTTTGAACTGTACGCTTTGACACCTGGTGAAATGTATGAACGAGAGTTGGGAAAGGGAAGACTTCCTGGTGAGTCTGGAGGAACTCATGCTTTGAGCTAACAATTCCAAGGGCACATGCACAGAAACACGGCATACTGGACAAAATGCCACTAACGATGCCTCTCCTCCAACTTTGGAAAAGGCCCTGCCCCTCCAAACACCTGGAGCAAATTTTCATTTCTCTCTGCCCACAGGAGTCTTTGGTTATTTAAAGTCAACTGCTCCATTATCTGTATTGACTGGTTTGGGGCAACATGAGATATACAATGTTGGAAGGAAAATAAGGCCCATCTCATGAACTCGGTAAGGAGGGCATCTACCCTCTCAGAAATGCCACGTGCCATGCTCTGGGCTTGTTCCCTAAGAATTCAGTCATCACTTTTGGACCTGTTGAATCCTGGCTTCTTCAACTAGTTAAATCACACTCGTGGGCAAGTTTTTCTGCCATGACTTGACAATTTCTGCACATCCAGGAGATTTGGAAGATGCTAAGAAATTCCAGTGACGTCCCCTAACACAGCTCCACCTGCTCCACCTTTCCTCAGCCCCCTTGGTCCTGTGCTGATGTGGACAGCTCCTTCCAGAAACAAACTCTAACTCAAGCCTATGCCAGGAATGTTAGGTTGCTAAATGCCCAGACACTGCTGTGGGGGCAGGAAGGGGCAGAGATTAAGCTTATCCATTTTCTTCTTTCCAAAAATCAACACTTTTCGGGGAATCCAAAGGCAGTTCCTTCTCTGTAACGCACTTCCACCTCCTTTCTCATAAACTGAAAACATGATGCTCAGAATCTGAAGCATCTTCAATCAGAGTGTGCGGTCCAAGCCCAACATCTAGCAAAGGACTGTCTTGAGTATTTCCAACTGAAGTGATGGTGTCTTAATATGTCCAAAAGTTCTAGTTTGTTGCTGTCTTGGGAAATTTGCATGGAGCCCATTAAGCTGCCCTGTTTGGAGGCTGGTGAATAGCATGGCATCATTTGCAAACAACCATGCTGTAAATAAACTATGAAAGGCAGCTGCCTTACCCAAGGAACACTAAAGACTCAGGCCATGGGTTTTGGCCACAGGCAAGGGCATCGATTCCCAACCAACCCCTGGCTGATTCTAATGTCTCCTTCCTCCAGACTGTGCGGCATTTGGGAGGAAGGGGGAAATGGGCCTGCCCAATGCAAAGGCTCCCGGTGGCGCATTGCCACGTGGGTATTGGTGCTTTTTCTGTTTTTCTCACCAGGCACACATCTCTTATCATACAAGTTGAGCAGGTCTTTCCTGCATTTTAAGAAGCCCGTGCTTTATTGTCCAAAACCCTTGCTCTTGAGTGCATGTGTTTTGTGGAAGCACAAGTGGTAATTACACAAGTCTTTCCTTCCCTGTCATTGGCAACAGTCACCAGGGAAATTTACAGCCCCCAATATCCAGATCTGGAAACTGGTTATTAAACGTGGTCGAGGAAAACCCTGACGTGGCAAATGGCCTCCGAGCAAGCAGCAGCTCGGCAGCAGTGCTTGGGGGAGTGGCTGGGAGTCAGCAAGGGACCGTCAGTTTTGTTTCATTGAACATTTTTTTTTTACATTTTATTTTTTAATATATTTTATTGATTTTTTACAGAGAGGAAGGGAGAGAGCTAGAGAGCTAGAAACATCGATGAGAGAGTGTCATCGATCAGCTGCCTCCTGCACACCCCCTACTGGGGATGTGCCTGCAACCAATGTACATGCCCCTAACTGGAATCGAACCTGGGACCCTTCGGTCTGCAGACCGACGCTCTACCACTGAGCCAAACCGGTTTTGGCTCATTGAACATTTTTGCTGTTTATCATAATGTTAGCACTACTTATCTTTGTCATTTCCATTTGTTTAGATCATAGGGGTGTCGAACTCAATCAGAGAAGGGGCCAAAATCTAAAATCCAGCCTAAATCGAGGGCTGATTGGTTTACTGAACAGTCATAAACTGTCATTGTGATGGAAACGCAGCAGAGTGCAGTGATGACAGCACGGTGTGGGCCACATTGCAAGGCCTGGCGGGACGGATTTGGCCCGCGGGCCTTGTGTTTGACACATGTGGTTTAGAATATATTATGTGGCTGGCATTACATTAAGTCGCCACTTGATCCTTGGGTTTTTTTTTTTTGTTTGTTTTGTTTTGTTTTTTACAATCTCCTGGGAATGTTTTTATAATTTTAAGATGAAGAAAGAAACAGAGAGGCCACGTAACCAGCCCAAGGTCTTTGGTCTGGGACTTGGTAGAGTCAGGGTTTAACACCTCCAGAAGCTTTGAACTCAGGTATGATCAAAAGTCAGGCAGGAACATACCTGGTGAAGCTGCCCAGGAGTAGCCTTTCAGGGAAATGGCAAGTGTTTCTAATACCTCCCCAGGCTCCCAGACTCCACGCTTTCCTCTGCTGTCCTGCCAAAACATTTGGAGGCCTAGTGGCAAGAAATGTCTGAAGCCTGAATTCATCCCACTAGCCCTTGAGTTCCAGTCTCTTTAATTTGAAATTTGATTCATGCTTAATGGCATTTAAAAAAATCTCAGGATGCCTTAGTGCAGGCGTCTTCAAACTGCGGCCCGCAGAGGAGTCTGATCTGGCCCGCCAGGTTTTTGGGCAGTGAGCGCAGCCGAGGTGTTACAGTAGGAATTAGTAGTCATATAGTCCGGCCCTCCAGCTCTCTGAGGGACCGTGATCTGGCCCCCACTTTAAAAAGTTTGAGGACCCCTGCTAGTGGATAGAGCGTTTTGGCTCAGTGGATAGAGTGTTGGCCTGTGGTCTAAAGGGTCCTGGGTTCGATCCCAGTCAAGGGCACGTACCTCAGTTGCAGGGTCCTCTGGCCCAAGCCCTGCCCAGGGTGCGTGCAGGAGGCAACCAATGGATTTGTTTCTCTCACACCAATGTTTCTCTCCCTCTTTCCTTCTCTTCCACTCTCTCTAAAAATCAATGGAAAAATATCCTCATGTGAGGATTAAAATATCAGGATAACCTTTTAAAATTAGATATAACATACAGAGAGAAAAGTCAAGTCTTGAAACTATCATTTGATGAATTTTCCAGAACTGAACAAAGCCATGTAACCAACTTCCTGGCAGAAGCATCACAATAGTGCCAGCATCCTCGACACTCTCTGCGCCTTTCCCAGGCATTCACATCCAGAAGGTTAGCCACTGTCCTCACTTCTAACCCCACAGATGAACTTGGTCTGCTTCTGGGCCCTGTATGCATAGAATTATATAGTATATCCTCTTGTGTCCACCGGCTTTCACCTAACTTCATGGGAGATCCATCCATGTTGTGGCATGTGGCAACAGTCTTCTCAAATCTGTTGGTTGATCCTTTCACATTGATATGTTATCCCTGAGTGCCTAAGGAGGAAGAGTTCCTTCTCTGAACACAAGTTCTAGAAAATAAAATAAGTCATTCTGGGACCTTGTTAGAGCTATGAAAGGACATTGATAGTTAACAGATTTTCCTAAATATTTTCTCATTTTTCGCCTCTCACAGCCCATGTCAGGTGGTTAGGAGACATAATTCCCATTGGTTAGATTGAGAAACAGAGGGCGCCTGCAGGTGTGCGAGCGCATGCAGTTATACAATTGAGATTGCAGCTGAGGTGCCTTGATTGCCAATGTGACGCTGAACGCACACCGTGGTGCTCCTCTCTGGGCCAGAAGGCCTTTCAAAGGAAAAATAAACTGGTCCCTAAGGTTGTTTGCCGTGTGCATTCAACGTTTCCCTCCTCAGAATTCACTTTCTTTCTTATTTCGGGATCCCCCTTTCCCCTTCTTGATCCCAAGATTGAGGGGTCCATTCCTAGCAGCGAAGAGCACATGACTCCGCTCCTTGGCAGAGAAACATAGGTTGTGGGGTCTCACAGGCAATCTTGAGGGAGCTCAGGAATACATTACCATAAAGGGTGCAAAAACCAAGAAAAAAGAGTGAGAAGTCATTTCAGTTTCTGGAACAAGCCACACCCCAAATCCACTACCTCTAAACTATTTATTGCATGAAGCCATGCATGTATATACTTATTTTTGCTCAAAGTATCTTGTGTTATTTTTTTTTTAATTCTTTTCTCCTAAAGAATTGGGTGGGAGGGGCTTACAAAATAAAAAAACCCTGAAAGATACAGTTATCTAAATCCTCCCATTTCTCCTCCCCAATTCAAGGAGCCATAGTCCAGTGAGTGGCAGCTATGTAGACGTGGAGGTTTTGTCTTGAATTTATGCAAAGTTGCTCTCCTGAGTTCTCCCCAAGTGAAGTCACTGTGTTGACACAGACAACGTCTGTTTTGAAACCATAGAAATGTTGGCTTTGCCTTGTACTCGGGAAAGGGTCTACACCACCCACATCGACCATTCCTGCCATAGATGCTCATGTAACCTAGCCCGGGAGGGCAAGACCAACGGAGGCAAAGATTTTGTCAAGGGGTAGGGGAAGCTCGTCCAAACAACAGAGCTCAAGGAGTCTTCGTCCAAAGGCTTTTGGAATTTCTTGCTCTCTAGCCAGTGTATCATCTAAACTCTCCACAGAGTGACAGAGATTTATTCATCCCTCTCTGCACGTTAGAAGCCCATCATGGGGTGGGGGGAGGAAGAGAAACTGCAGTGGAGACTCCTGACAACATGCCTCAGCCAGGTGATCAAGGCCAGGACTCATGCTGAGAGTGCCTGCGCCTGAGATGACGTGGCGAGAAGGGTGCTTTACCGCTGTGGTCCTCCGCCCGTAAACCAAGCCCCAGTCTAATCACAAGAAAAAGATCAGACAAATCCCAGAAGATGGGCCACCTGTGATAAGCCAGGCTTAGAAAAGACAGACATGAGAAGGAAAGCTGGGTCTCGATGGGACACTGCCTCTCTGATGGAGGGACAGCGCCACGGAAGTACAAGCCATGTCTTTATTTCATAGCAGATGCCACGAGCGTGGTCAAGATGTTTCCAACCTTCTCGTAGGTTTCAATCCTACTCAGTTACACGCACCTGACCAAGCTTTGTTTACGTGCGGCCTGTATCACTCAGGCACGTGGGGCCATGTGTTCCGACCTTAGGCTCCAGCTCACAACTCCAGCTGTTGGCTATCATTGTGCTGGGAGGGCTCTGCACTCTAAGCTGGGACTTGCACGTGGCCATGAGAGGACTGTGTCCTCTCATTAGTCCGAGGCTTGAACCTGTCCAAACTCTTTAGCCGCTCTCCACAGGCGGGTACCAGCGGGATCTGAACCCCAGTCCCATATGTCCCCTCCCATCTGAACTGGGGCCCAATGCATCCCCAAAGCAGAGGAGCTTGTGGAGCCCTAGGTCCAAAACCTGACTCCACCACAGACCATCTAGGGCAGTGGTCGGCAAACCGCGGTTCACGAGCCGCAGTTTAGCTGCTCTGTTGACGAATGAGTTTGCCGACCACTGATCTAGTGGAACTTGGTGAGACATGTAAGCTCCCCGGGCTCCCGCTTCCTTGTCTGTGAGAATAATAGTTCCTACCTCCTGGGGTTACGTTGAGGATAAATGAATTCACATAATCACAGCACTTACCGTAACGCTGGTACTATGGACATCCTCCGTAAACGCCCTCTGTGGCTGGTCGTCTCTGTGGCCCCCACTCTCCTCACTGTCGAATGTGGGGCCTGGCAGTGCCCACCTCCGGGGACTGTTGTCAGGAATAAATGAGCTGATGCACATTAGTCCTCGATGCTGTGGTCTGGCTTCTAGCAAATGCTCCCGTTCAGTCACGTTTGCCCATTTTACTTATTAGAGTAGGATTATTCATATGGATCAGTCCTTCCAAGAATTAGAATGTCTCTCCAGTCGTTTAAAACAGCAGTTCATAGGTACTAGGAGTAGTCAAGGTTGATTTACAAGGTCAGAGCCTTGGGTGCACCCAAATCAAATCTGTTTGGTAGGACTAGCTATTGCTTCCGCCTGCTCAGCGATCTCCTAGAAGACCACCCATTTCCAGCTTTGGAAACTGCCCCTCCCACATGCATTAGGCCTGTCAATCACTAGGCCTCACCCTCCCAGCTCCCTTAATAAGATGATTGGATGCCTGACCCAAGTGAGCCAGTGAGAGTCTCTTTAGGGGCTGACAGGGATGCTGGGGAGAGAGGGGCTCTCCTCTGAAACCCAAAGCTGATGGGAGTCAACTGTGCCACCAAGAGAGGAGAACCTAGCAGAGTGGCATGGAGGCCCTGAGTGGTGCAGAGGACACAGAGAGAAGAGGAGGAATGGAGAGAGAGGAGAGGGGCAGAGGGGGAGAGATGAAAAGGGAAGCACTGAGAGAGACAGGCAGAAAGGAAAGAGGAAGGGATATGGGAGGGAAGAAGGGAGATCCCGTCAATGACTCCATTTTTTAACATGAACCTCTAGATCAGGCGTCCTCAAACTTTTTAAAGTGGGGGCCAGATCACGGTCCCTCAGAGAGCTGGAGGGCCGGACTATATGAACTACTAATTCCTACTGTAACACCTCGGCTGCGCTCACTGCCCAAAAAACCTGGCGGGCCGGATCAGACTCCTCTGCGGGTCGCATGTGGCCCGAGGGCCGTAGTTTGAAGATGCCTGCGAGATCCAGCTAGAAAAAAGGGAAATTTATGCCTTGGCTGTTCATTACTTCCCTTTTCCTTTTTTTAAAAAAATTTTTTCTTCAAGTCTATAGGTTCTTCAAAGGGGGGCCCAAGAAAATTAGAAACCACCACAACTGGAGCATTTATTAGAGATGGAACGAACTCACTTCAGAAAGAAACAAAGTTTATTTGATGAATATAAATAAGGCGATCAGCACAAAGTACTTCTCATACACATGGTAACAAAGTTATGAACTGTACAGACCTTGTACTTCTACTAGACACGAGGTTACAATGACTGGCTAATACATGCCCACTGGTAGTTTCTGAGGGTTCCTTAGTTTTGTTTATTTATTTATTTCATATCGAAGTCCATAATCACATGGTCAATATCACAACCCACATGCCACTCACTTGAAGAAATATTACAAGAAGCACTATCGAACGAGGGTCTCTGGGAAGTAGATACACTGATCCCTGGCAGCATTCAAACGCCACTCGACACAAAAACTTCTCTGATAGAACTCATGTCAACGTGTTGGAGGTCTCGTCATAAATTCTGTTTGAAAAGTAAATTGAAACCCGCTTTCAGATGAAAGTTGACACGCTGTTCACGTGCATACTGGATACACAAAAATCATTAAGTACAAAAATTGAGACTGTACATGGAAATCAAATCGGGCATAAAGGACAAGTCTGCTTTTGCACAAAGCAAGGAGACCAACTTCTCCCAAATGGTAGCCTCAGCTTCTCTTTTTTTCCAACTTCATTAGGATTGGGGGGAGGGCCTGCTAAGGTTCGTGCAAAGGAAAGAGCTTCCCGACATCACAGTGTTTGTTGTAAACCCAGAGACTTATTTTCATGTGAAAAGGGAAATGTTTTGTAACCCCCCAAACACCAGGAATATTACAAGAAATGGGAAAAGATGCCATGCTAGAAAAATTAAAATTTTCAGGGACTCAAGGACATGTCCCCATTAATGTAGGCTCAATCATATCGTTAATTAACAAAAGTGGGGCAAAAAAATGATCCCCCAAACAAGAGCTGTGACAAAATTGGCACATACTTAGAAAGAGCGAACTCTACACGTTTGGTTGCCTTTTCCGTCGTGGGCTTCCTGCTTCCTACTTCAAGTTCCCAGTTACAGAGCTCAGGCCGGGACTTGGCTGTGAGAGCCAGCGAGGACCTCCCTGGTGAGGGCATCCAGGCTGGTCACGGGGGCAGGTCTGTGGCCTGGCTGCTCTGTGCAACATCGCGTGAACACGTGCTAAATACACTTGCGAAGAACTAACTCTGCTCACGTTTCCAATCTAGACCTACATCCCTTTGGTAAAGGACAGACTTTTTAAACATGATTGTAATTGGATGGTTGATGCAACACGGAAGCGTTACGGAGCTCACTATACTTACAAGGACGAAGCCAGAAGCAACACACCTGCTTGAATCTGTGACTCCCTAGTGCCCCGAGAATGAGCAGTGCAACCCAGTCACATCTTTCCTGACAGACGGGGCAGCCTGTCTTTTAAATATCTCTATGGCTCACGGGAGAGGTCCAGTTAAGTTGCACCAACATTTGAAAAAGTAATAAAAACGACTAAGTTCAATGCATCGGTTTAGAATCCTTTTCACAGCAGCAAAGAAAGACAACTATATTTATTAAGGCCACTCATGCTTAAATTCACTGTTTGTCCTTTAAAAATGCAGATTTTAATCTTCCACTTTGCATACACGTGGAAGGGTTTCTTCCATTGACAAAAAAAAAAAAAAAAAAAAAAAAAAAGGATCAATACAAGAGCTGCACATGTTTGCCAGACTTGGTCATGAGCTTTATGAAGTTATAACACTTTATTATTGTTTTTTTTTTATCTTCAGAGGAAACAGGAGGAGTTTAATTCTCCTTAGTACCATGTCACTGTATGTAAAAGACCTCAAAATTTGGTCTCTTTCCCTGGCGTGTGCTTTAAAGAACGACTGTCCGCACAAACGTGTGTAGAGCTATATACAGATACACAGCTTTTGTGATTAGTTCTCATTCATCAATGTTTTCATGTTGGATGCTGAAAATGCTTTGGAATCCATGTTGGAGACCTTTATTTTTATTTTTTTGAAAAATTGAGAAATGACACTTCCTTTTCAGAAGATCTAAGCTTACACTGTTTGCACAGCATTTGGATCTTGAAACATGAATGAGTCCCAGCTTCTTCATGAAGACCTGCGTGTACGGGAATACTAGTAAAAGCCGGAGGCTAGGCCACGCCCCAGCCACGGGGGGGGGGGCGGGGTGTGTGTGTGGGGGGGGGGAACATGTGGCCCACCGCACAGAAATGTGCGGGTGCCTCAGGCTTTTGCCACTCTCCAGTACGGCGACAGGGCAGATAAAATCATGAATGACCAGTTTAGATGCGCCATGCATTGTCAGAGACACACACCACATTCTCATAAGGCGATTTCTTGGCAAGTATTAGTGGTTTAAAAAATTGATTTCATTTCCAACCTGGCCCAGAGGTAACTACTGGTTTACACCATCAAAATGTGGTTCTTCGAACAGCAGATTAAAGAAAGAGAGGAGGGTACAGGCTCACCATTTTTTGGTGTTTTGGTTTCTTTGTCAAACACTCCATGCACCTTGAGATACGAACACTGCCAACACCACTCACGCACAGGACTCATCCTTTTTGAGAACCTAATGCATTCCGAACAACCTCTCAGGCTGGACAGGCAGAAGAGCTGGAGATGAAGCTTGTTGTCCAACAGAAGCTGCATCCACAGTTAGTAAGATCCCATGGAGTTGAAATTTATCCAATGAGGTTGACGTAACAAATAAAAAGTTACCAAATCATGATGTTCAGAAGAGATGATCACATAGTTAATGCCCAAATCCTGACAAAAAATAAAAATAAAAAATAAAAATAATCATAATAATAATAATAATAATAATAAAATGGAGGATCTACCCTTTTCCTCCTCTGCCACTTCCTTCCTTTCCAACATATGGAACGACATGGGATGCTGACGGGAAGATCGGGCGGAACGGAACCGAGCTCGGCGATGGAGGGGAGACTCCTTTCCAGTCCTGACGTGCATTCCACATGGTGATGGACGGGGGCGTGAGCCGCACGGCGATGGATTATCAGGATATTGCTGCGGAGCTGCGATTTCCCTTTAGTCAGCCCTTCTGATAGCTGCAACAGAAAGCACATCACTTAGCATCCCGGGGACTGGCCGTGATATCGGAGGCCATCCTGCCCGGGGCTCCCCAACCCCCACCCCTGCACTGACCCTCCTCCACTCTCTAGGGTTGGGGTTGGTTGCAATTGGTAAGGAGAGGGGTTAGCAATGAGGAGGAAGCATATAGGAAGGATAAAGTGAACAGAAAATTAAATTGTATCCTGCAAACACATCTGAGGAAGAGCCCCTTTCAAAACATGTTGCCAAAATCGGTTTGGCGCAATGGATAGAGCATCGGCCTGCAGACTGAAAGGCCCTGGGTTCGATTCTGGTCAAGGGCATGTACCTGGGTTGCGGGCACATCCCCAGTAGGAGGTGTGCAAGTGGCAGCTGATCAATGATTCTCTCCCATTGATGTTTCTATTGTAATTCTCTATCCCTCTCCTTTCCTCTTTGTAAAAAATCAATAAAATAGATATTTAAAAAAAACCAAAACATGTCACATGTAGGTCTCAGCTATCTCCTGATAAGCAAAAATAAACGGAAAGGAAACATTTCAGTGGTTACTTCGATGTGATCAAATTATGTGCCAATTTTTCTCTCTCTACACGTGTCTACAATGAGAATGGTCTTTTTTGTTTTGCTATTTTTGTAGCAGGATTTTATAGAGATTAGAGAGTTAAAGATGGTTAAGACCCCAGAAAACTTAACATTCACTTGCAAACCATGTGCAACCACTTAAAAGAACACTGGACTCGGAGATTCCGCATCCAGGGAGAGAGCCAGGACCCATACACCAGTGTGCATAGCAGCATTCTTCACAAAAGGTGGAAACCACTTGCAAGTGTCCATCAACAGATGAATGGCTGAACGGAAAGTGGTAATGTGGGAGACTGTTTGGCCCCAAGAGGCAAAGAAGTTCTGACACATGCTACAGCATGGATGGACCTTGAAGACATGCTAAGAGAAATGAGCCTGCACCAAAGGATAGATACTGTATGATTCTACTCCAGTGAAATATCCGGAAGAGACAAAGTCACAGACGCAGAAAATAGAGGAGAGGGTCCCCAAGGCTCCGGGGGAGGGGCTGGAGGGGCTGTTGCTGAGTGGGTAGAGGTTTTTGGTTTTGGGTGATAAGAAAGTGCTGGAGAGGGATGGTAGCGTTGGTTGTACAGCTCAGCATGTGTACTTAATGCTACTGAATTGCTCACTTTCAATTGGTTAAAATGGTACATTCTATGTATTTTTTTTTTTTTACCACAATAAAAACACATTTTAAAAAAGAATATTGAGCCCAGCTGACGTGGTTGAGCATCGACCTATGAACCAGGAGTTTGATTTCCATTCAGGGCACATGCCCGGGTTGTGGGATCGATCCCTAGTGCCAATCAATGATTTTCTCTCTCCCTCTCCCTCTCCCTAACTTTCTGAAATCAATTAAATTTTTTTTTAAATAATATTGACATCTCCTTAAATAGAGCAGAATGTGGCAGAGTTGGCCTTCATCCCCAGATTTCAAGGCCTGTGTGTAAGCTGACACCCAGCCCTAAACGCCACCTGCCACCATGCGCTGGCACCGCTCATGCCCCCGAGCAGGTATCCAGAGAACCCCAGCTTTTCTCACTGTCCCCGGGAGAGGCCTGAGTGTGGGCTGCACCGCAGCCGGGGAAGCAGCAGCGCAGGAGGGAGAGGAGAGGACCCTTCAGATGACGGCTTTCTTCCCCGCCGATGCTCAGCTTTGTGTGCCGGCCTCATTATCATTCACATATGGCCTTTGAATACTTCGGGAGTTTCCGGGCATATGGCAATAGTGCAGCTATCTGGGGAATATGGCGGGGCGGGGAGAGATCAAACAGGCGCACACACTCACACACGTGTGAGCCATTCTTTATCCGCGGCCCGGGCTGTCTGATTCGGTGGTGGATGCGCGGTGCTTCTCGGGCCACGCACGCTGACTAATGAGCGCACCAGAGAGGCCCGTGTCCGCCCAGGTAGGCCGCCACTCCCAGCCACCACCACACAGTGCTAATGAGGTATGTGGCTTGGATGAACTCTGCTCATTCAGACTCTGAGGAGTTCGGTGTAACCCTTCTGGTTAAGAAACTTGAATCAGAGAAAGAAAAAAGAAAAAATGACTTTTGCAGAGCCAGAAAGCGAGGGAGTTCCTAGAGCAGATCGTATTACTCATTCTGGCACATAAAGTCTCTGCAAACTCCGTATGAAAATTGTAAGTCAGAGCACGCTTTCGGCTCCGTGAGCTGTGCATAGCTCTAATTCTTTTGTGCATTAAGCATTTCTTAATCATCCCTTTAAAAGGCTGACCGATACGTTAAAAGGGCAGGTGATTAAAAGGTAGAGAGAAACCCGAAGTCGCACGAAAATGCACCGCTCGTATCTAACTGACGGGGAAGCGAGTGAAAGATAATCACAGTGAATGGCCGATGTCCTTGATGTTTTTCCAAGATAAAGTAGCAAAGGACAATCATTTATTCAGTTGAGAGGAGATGTCCAGCTGCGTAACGGGTCACAGGGCAAAGCACAGTGCCGTGCAACCGCCGTGCAGTGTTCAGGGTGCAGCCTGTGCTGCGGAGAAGAGGGGTCTCCCGCAGTGCTGCGCCGCCTTCTATCAGACAGCCTGCTGGCCAGGAGGCCTAAATGGAAAAGCTCCAGTGACATCGCCAGCAGCTGGACACGCCGATGATCCCTGGTTGAAGGACAAACGTGCAAGATGTTAAAAGGAGATGGCCGAAACCGGTTTGGCTCAGTGGATAGAGCGTAGGTCTGCGGACTGAAAGGTCCCAGGTTCGATTCCGGTCAAGGGCATGTACATTGGTTGCAGGCACATCCCCGGTAGGGGGTGTGCAGGAGGCAGCTGGTTGATGTTTCTCTCTCATTAATGTTTCTAGCTCTCTATCCTTCTCTCTTCCTCTCTATAAATAATAAAATAATTTAAAAAATAAAAGGAGATGAACTGGGCAGCCACCCACCGAGAGGCAATCTCTGGCCAGACTCCCTCACCTGGAGGGCCACACAGGCCCAACCTGTCCCCTCATATCCTCTTTTGCAGCGCCCAACTCTGCACTCTCCTCTGTGCAGCTGGTGGTGCTATTTCCATAATGGCACCGACTTCGTCTTCATCTCAGGGGCACAGCCCTCATTTCCAATTCCGTTGCCTGGGGATGGAGGATGGAGGGTGGACTTGGACCATGCGGGCAGGGGCCACCTGGCCCCTCTCTCTCCAGCACCATCTCCATGTCCCACCTCTGCCCAGCCTGCATCTACAGGCCTAACGCTTCCCCTTCTCCCGCCTCACAACCCTTCCTTTCTGTCTGACATGCTTTGACGCCAATCCTTGAACGGACCCACCTCTACTTTTGCGTCCATCTCAGTTTAGGTGTCACGTCTTCCCCAGAGGCCTTTCCTGACCCTCGGGAGGGTAGGATGCAGCACAGGAAGTCTCGCACATGCTGCACTGGCCCCTGCTGCTGACTTGTCTAGACTTTTATTGACCAACATGACAGCCATTGGCCACGTGTGGCAACTCCACCCTGGGACTATGGCAGTCCAAACTACTGCCATGTGCTGTAAGTGTAACACCGCGCAGGGTTTGGAAGATTTAATATGAAGTTAGTTTTTAATACTGATTTTGAGTGAATGTAAATCAACATACTAAATTTTAGCTTTAGTATGAATATCACTTTTTTGTGACAATTTCATGTTAAAATGGCATTTTGGATGTACTGGATCCAAGTAAATACATTATTATAATTCATTGTACCCCTTATTACTCCTGTTGATGTGGCTGTTGTTTTGTGGCTCAGATGTGGCTTGCATTATATTGCTATTGACAGCACTGGTCTGGGCTCGGCAAGGGCAAGGGCAGGCTGGCCTGGCTCAGTTAGGGTCCCCTGAGCCTTTCACAGTTCATGGACCGGAACAAGCTGATTCCCTCTTCCTTCCCCACAAATCAGAGAGCGCCCAGAGTAGGCAGAATCCTAACATCACCCCCTGGCCAAAGACTCCCTGCTCTTTCCCTGGCATCCGGACTCTGAACATCCCACAGCAGATCATGCCACCTGATAAATGTAATGAAGGCTGCTAATCACTCGGCTAAATTAAAGAGAGGTGATCTGAGGGGCCTCCTTTAATCACAGGGGCCCTGTGGTAGCAGAGACATGTCTCGCCTTGGTAGCAGAAGGCAAAGTCAGAGCCTTTCCCGGGGGGACATGCTGTGCTGAGATGGAGGAAGCCACGAGGCCAGGACCAGAGCATGTCCTGCAGGAGCCGAGGGCATCCCCGCCGCCCACAGCCGGCGAGGAAACAGGACCTCAGTCCAGCCACCACAAGGAACTGAGTTCTGCCAACAACCTGCATGGGCGTGGAGGCGGGCACTTCCCTTCAGCCTCCAGGTTCAAGTCCACCTGGCTAACACCTTGACTTTCACTTCATGAGACCAAGGAGACAGCCCAGGGGGCCTTGGCTGGTCTTCTGACCTGCAGAACTGTCAGATAGCCCGTGGGCATTCTTTGAAGCCCCTCACTTTGTGGTGATGTTGTGATGCAGCAGCAAAAAGCTAGCGTAGCTCTTTACTGTATTGGACAATGCGCGTGGCGCCAGGGACATAATGGCAAAAAAGACAAAATCTCTGCCCCCACGAGCTTGTATTTTCGGGAGGAAGATAGATAACAAATAGATGCACAGATAAATAAAAGCACAGATATTTTAAAAACTTGTGACTTGAAGGAAATGAATAGAGAGGGATGCTTAGGATTTATTCAGCGACTACATGACATCATGAGGTAGCTATCTATTTCATTACATGGAGAGTTAGCCACCATTGTTTCAGATTACAATTCTACTGGTATAGTTCAATCTTGAATCATCAACACACATAGACACTTGCAAGTGTAGGTAGACAGTATAGTTAATAATGATCGCTGGGTGGTGTTTTTAAATTTCCTTTTTTAAATTGTTATTGTTGTTGTTGCACTGTTTGGATATTTTAAACCAAGAA